GGTGCTCTCCACTGGGAGATTCCCACGTCCAGCGCTGAGGGCGGGGCTTCTGGAACTGCGAGTTACCATTGTCTTAGTAGCCATGAAAAACTAAGATAATTGCTCGCCCTGTTCGTTCCATTCTAATCTGTGGGTTTAAATGTGACGTTCTTCAGACATTCTTCTTGGTCCAATCTTGGCATTGAAATCTCATTATGAACTTAAAGAGTGTATGGTTTTCTCTGTAAAACTTCTCCAACTCCATATAGAACGCTTCGACCTCTTCTTCGTCATAGTTCGATGTTGGAAACGACGAAGATTGTCAAAGCCAGTATTGATCCGCGTCTTTTAAATCGTAAACGTCCGATTCGGGTTGTAAGTTGTTGGAATGCATCGATGCTCATGGACAAACTCGTGTTGACGAGAACGTCGACGCCTCCGACGCCTCTATACTCTCTATACGTCTCTATCGCATATTCCGATGAACAGTTCTTCTCCGGTGTCATAGACGGTGTTGAATGGATAGCGTCGTCTCGTCTCGGCCAGGCCGATGACGTCGTCCCTTATCCTTCTTGCTGGAATGACCAAGTCTTCTATTGAGGACTCGGATGCAAGTGTACGTCCATTTGTAAGTACAGGTCATCACCATGGTTCGTTGTAATAAAGGCAGCTTCCATTGGTCCTGAGATTTTAGCAGGCTCTCCGTACTCGTCCTACCCAACGCTGCCGAATTTTAGGCTTTTTCGGAGTCAGGGGAATGGGGCCTGTTTCTTTTACTGCTTTTAGCTTTTTGATGCTCTCATATAGCTTGCTGGGCTCTGAACGTAGGGGCTGGGTACACTCAGGGGTAGCTTGCCAGGCTCTCCCAGAGTGGACATGGAGCTTATTTGTTGGAGGCGACTCCTAACCGACTCTCATCTACTTCTCTGCCATTTGATTGCAGGCTTTTGGCCGAATTGACTCGTAGAATACAATCCTCATAAGCGAGAACGCATACACAGATGTATGCATGAATGCGCCTAGAAAATACAGAAAGTATGTGCCAAATCGGCGAAGCAGAAACAGAGAGTCCATCCTCTGGATCCACCTGCGTCTCAGGGAAGCAAAGGTCGTTTTTGGTCTGCTATTAACCCCCTTTCCGCCACCTGGGGACGCGCCACGTAGCCTCGCGACTTACCGGCTCGAGATCCCTAATGTGAGGTAGATCTTAGTAATATACCACGTACAATTAGCCCATCAATATCTGGGTTGAGGAATAAGAGGTTTTCCGCGAGCTGTTCTCTTTGTCTTGTTGGCGATCAAAAAATAGGTTGTTATTACAGTACTTTTTCATCCACAATAGCCGATGTTTCATCGGCTTCACCTTTCATTCAGATCTTAGAATGGTCTAATTGACATGAAATCTGCTCAACAAAACACTTGCGTAACCTCTGCAGATAAGACTTAATACATAAATCTTCGTTTGCACAGTGAACGGTTTTTTTTAAAATACTCACCGCTTTGTTATACGTAAGCCTTTCAGTTATTTGGTGAAAATCGGTCTCATAGAGTCTTACATGGGTGAGCATGTGACTTGGTGAGGTCAAAAACTACTCTGGGCTTTGGCGAGAGGCCACGACGTATCATAGGAAGGCGCTACTCACGGCTGTTCATTTCTCAATTCTTAGAATTTATTTAAAGCCCTTTAAAAATTTTACGCCCCGACGTTTTGGATTTCTTCACGAGGATGGTGACTTCTACTACAAAAGGTTCTCCGGTATGCCTTCCTGTCCTGTATGTGTCTAGTGGAGTGTTCTGTTTGACTTCAAGTTTTCCAAGTAGATGCTCCTTCACGCAGACCGGTTCACCCATTTTGCTAATGTATTCTTCTTTGTACGCTTTGCAAGTGTTCAGGTGCTCTATACCCAAACTCATGCAACCACAGTTTTATTATTAGAACAAATTATGCAAATTTGCTTTGCGCATAGACGGTTAGAAAAAGAACTACGAACTAGCGGAAGTCCTCGAATGTCGATGGCAATTCTATCACTGCTACTGTTTTCTCTAGGCCGGCTTTTAAAAGCAAACTTTTATAAGTATATTTCTTTCAAACCCGCATGGTGTGGTGGTGAACGCGTTACTCCCCGGAAAGGATAATAGCGCGTTCGTTCCCCACCATAGACACCTGCGGTCCAGAGTTTTGCAAATATCTCAGCAACGTTGTGGTTATATTTCTTTCGTTTAAAATGAAGAGCAGGATAAACGGGACCCTATTTTCACTAGACTACCCATGTCATTTAGAGAGTGGTTTTTCCTCCATACCTGTCCCGAGGGGCTACCTTTTCGTAGGTACTGGAATGGCTGCTTTTCATGTCAAGTTCAGGGATTCTTCTGGTTTTTTCTTGTGCGCACAGAGATAGCTGGCCGAAACATGTTTCTTACAAGCGCTCTTTTGCATGTGAAGGCTGTGAGGAAAGGTAACGAACCATTATGTTTTTTAAATTGGCTTTCGGTGCCATTTAGTAAGGTAACGGTTACTGAGCAGGTTCATTCGAACTTTCAAGAACGCAAATCTTTCTTTGATTTCTCTCGGGTAAAATCTATACACCTCGACTGTTGTTCTAGTAGTTCAAACGATTTGTTCATCTTTCCTTGTGTCCAGCAGATGACAAAAAAACTCATCGTTACACTCACAGCAGAGTAATGGTCAGAGATTGAATCCTCTAGCTGCTACTGCAGTCACGAGCGTAATGGCAAAGCTTGATGGAAGTTGCTGTCCCACTTTTTCATTTTTGTTTGGTTTTTCTCGGAGCATCTGAAGATGCAGCAGCACAGGCATTGCTTTAATAGATAGGTGAACTGCTGAATGGAAAAGCCATGCACGTTTATTACTGGCTCATAATGCACAAGGAACCCCCTGATGGCTTAGGTTGCAGAGTTATTCCACGTTTGTATAAAGAGCGGCAACGTATAAAGGACTCCATCACGTACGCGCTATTAAGACGCGCTTTACGTAGATGATCCAAAAACATTTGGATGTTCTTGAGATAAGCTCGGATATGTTTCTGTTTTTTTTTCTGACCCATTCTTATTATTCACTTCAACAGCTGTTCTATCTTGGGTTCTTATAAGAGCGCCTGCAGTGCTGTTGCTAGGGGTGCCCAAAGCATTTCACATCGCTGTTAGTTCGATATATAGCCAAGCATCCTATTTTTTTTAGTCTGAGAAAATAAAGTAAAATGGACTCAAAACATGGGCTGGTTCCCGAAACTCGTTGTTCAGGCCTATTATACATTAAGTCACTCTCACTGTTCTCAATGGAGATAGGTGCATGTCACATCACAATGGATTCATCAATGACAAACGCTTTATTGAATTTCACTTTTTTATTTTAGCATATAACACTAGAAATACATATCCTCAACGCATACGTGCCGAGAAAAGGAGGAAAGTGAAGGAAATGCATTGGTGCCGATACATTTACTTTTGCGAGGCTCATTTTAACGACAGGATTTTCGGTGTATTTTTTGTACTCAAGAAAGAGTTGGTTCATAGCAGAAGCTGTACCATGAGTGTACCATGTAAAGGTGCTATATCTAGCGAAAAGTTGTTGTATGGGCGTGTTTAGTTCGGAAAGGGTCTGCTGCCGATGAAAAGATCGGCGAGCTCGGTTCTGCATTTCGACGCGGAAGTGTCATAGTTCTGAACGCCTATTATCTATGATAAGGACGGATCATTGAGGAAGCTTCTGGTAGTGACTCGACATTCATAGATCGTGTGTTAATCAATGATTTTTATCACTGCTTTAGAAATGATTTGGAAACAGTGTTTTGACTTCCATTTACTGTCCATTCCTTTTTCATGGCACTCGTGGCAGGGTGCGATGTAAAACTCACGAACACCTTTAGTACGCCCACGTAGTGTCATTCTATTGCTATCACTCCTATTGACGGGTGATTGCTGATAACACCGATAGAGTAAGAACATAGCTGAGAGAAAGACAAAGCAAAGGGCACGGTTGGTGTGGTGGATAGCGTATGGGCCTCCGGAAAAGTAATTGCAGGTTCACAGCTCAAATAAGTTTCCAAATCTTGCTCATTTCTCACCTTTGGGAGGACTTGTCAGCCCTTGTTGCTAAAACTTTTAAATATTGTGCTAAAAACCTTTGTTCTATGATATACAACTTAAATTTTGTGCCCACATATAATTCACATATCCTACAATAGAATACTCTTTACACGAAATCATTCGCCCAACAAGTCCAGTGATTAGCTGTGTAGTAGCCTGTACTTACTTTACGCCATGGTTTGGCTGGGGTCCGTCCTAAGCAAGCCATCCATTACTCCGTGGTAGGAAGTTTGATACCAAGCGTTCGTGGGTAAGTTCCTTCCGATCCCCAAAGGTTGAGGACTACCTTTCTAATGAAGAGCTCTCAACGATCTAGCAGAGCAATCTTATGATTTCAGAGATTAACTGCAACAACGTTCATATAAAAAACAAGGACATAATGCGGCAGCAAAACCCACACGCTAATCCGAATATCTCTTTTGGTGATGGTGCAAGAGTAAAGATTGGATGAAAGCAGTGCCGGTGTCCACATAATATGAGATGACGACTTCGATTAATAGTTAATCAGTAAAATGCAAGTAACAATGAAACGTTCGTATCATTAAAGACATCCTTCTCATGGCGTCAGCCACGTGTTGGTTTTTAACAGTACCGTGTTAACTTCACATTTTAGAAAAATTCTCCAATCAGTCAACGTTTTCTTCTTGAGAGAATTCTTCTCACTCTGTTCTTTTTTCCTGCTTAAAAAAACGTTAACTTACTATTAAATGCCGAGATCAATAGTGAGTCGGTCCTGGGAATTGCTTCAATTGTCATAGAAAAGTATTTTTACCGACAGGTAATAATAAGGACAGACCTTAACCACTAACTTACGGATTCTTCGTGTCATCTTCGGACTAGCACCAATAGCGATAAAGCCAAGAATCTATCTACTTTTCCTCCAGTAAATGTAAAAAATAACTGCTTATTTCTAGGGTTCCATCTTGGACGAAAAGGCTTTGATTCACGCGCTCACCTCGTGTGAGTCGTGTTTTCATTTGGCAGCTTACGGAATGTCCGGTTTAGAAGCTGTGAGTTTTCTTCCCTTCTTAATTGCCAAACTTATCACTAGGAAGAAAATATTTTGTCTATCATCAGAGAAAAATCCAAAGACGGTAAAGGAAATTTCGTATGACCTTTGAAATCAGCTCCAGAGCAATATTTTGTCATCTTTGTTCCTTTTAAGAAAAATTCCAAAAATCATAAGCAAAGCAATCAACAATAACAAAGCCAGCTAGAAAAATTCTTTTCCCATTCATCATTTTTCATGTTTTCATCTCTTTTTTTATAGTCACTCGGGTGATGTGGACATAGACTATGTAATGAGAAGGTTCATAAACTAAAACTCATCTGACCTCTGGCCTTATAAAGTGACTTAAACTTTGCGGGAAAGGTGACTTCTCTCTCGTTAGTTTTTGGAAACGTCACTTGGTTTCGCTAGGTAAATGACTTCTAAGCAACAAAGGATGAATCTTGTTCATTCTAGATGAAACGAAATCTGTGAAACAAATTTTAGTTTAATCGTGAACGGATATATCGAATAAACGTCGATGGTACATTACTTCTTTTGGAATACTGTAAGCGCGTGGGCGTGTCCCGTTTCGTGTTTGCTTCCACTGTGGGCGTCATTTTCACCGGCAAGGAATTGGTCTCCGCTACAGAGGATTATCCATATCCAGACGATTCTGAGGTATCTAGGTTATAATATGAGAAAGTCGCGGAATTAAAGTATTGTATTCAGCAACCATTTGTTGAAATAAGTTCGGCGGTAAATATGGCCATTTAGGCAAAACATAACCATTTGAGTGCGATAAGCGTACTAATTGATCTTGCCTCAAGATGCAAATGCCAGTGATTCGACTCGGAACCTTAGCCTAATCAATCCCCCATTCTTTTGTGATTGGAAAATTGACACCAGGCGTATTTGTGAGGACGAAAACATGGGTTTCCAACATCAGGACTTTTTTGGATATTTAGATGGCCCGTCTTCACTGGTTGTGCGGCCCCCAGCTTAAAGTTCCATCTGGCATATTTCGACATTGCGGATCCCTGGAGTTCTGAGGTCAGTCAAGCCGAAGTCTTACTCAGGCCGTCAGCACCCCAGATAGTCGCCGCTCTGGCAAATCAGAGGAAGGTTTGCCACCGCGTGACTACCTTGATACCAAGACGATGGTGAATTCTGGTATTGGCTTGCTCTTAGCCGCGCTTCCGAATTGAAAAATCGGACTTCTTCTTAGCTTGGGAGGTCCTGCTGAAGAAATTAACCTTTCCCTGTACGTTGAAGCCTGACACCCGGGAACACCTCCCATCGAAGGTGAGATGGAAACGGTTGCCATATCAGCATGAACGGCAAGTTATTATAGGATAAATATGCATCCAACCACTTGTACAATGCCGTGCATGGAGTCGACTATATGGAGCGCCTTTTAGAAACTGATCAACCACAAACGCTTTGTTTTTCTTTTATGGCTTATTTGGGCATAATTGTACAAAATCGTAGGCTTTTCGACTCATGAAACAATGTGCAGAACTGATAATTTGTTTTTCGCTCGGATTTCCGAAATGGTTAGCTAAAGCACTTCTATCACAGCAGCTAGTTGTTTTCGGTAAACTAGGGCTATATATTAGTTAAATAAAAGGGTAAAGCTCTCGGCGTTGATCAATTTTTGAGGGATGGGCTATGCATTCGACTTCGTTGGAGGTGACTGAATGCATATCTGGTCTTTACAATGACTCACGGTGACCTACCGATGTATCGAGCCAGTGCTGCTATCCTCCCATACAGGTGTGGTACCAATTCGCCGACTCCGGAGGGATGGAGCGCTCGGTGGCCCAGGAGCGCGGGGATAGATCCCAAGTGTTTTGTGTTTTGCTAGGCGTCTGAAGCCGCTGCGCTTGGTGGGTATGGGTAGCGTGGATCCATCCTACGTGTATTACAAAGCGCCTCCGACCACTGAGCTGAACGCTCCTCATGTTAGCTAAATACCATGATTTAATCCTGTTTGCGGCGAGAACTCATATACCAAAAGAGAAGAGTTAAAATCGTCTTAATCTTAGCATCGTAAAGACGCATGTTGGTGCAGGTTTCATACAGTTGGCAATCACGTCTGATACTTCAAAGCTTACAAATGTTTTCGTTTTCAGTACTCCTCCGAGTACTGCGCAACGAAGGCACGAGCTGAGAGGGCAGTACTCGCCGCAGATTGTCCAACTCTCAGGACTTGCTCGCTGCGCTTCAGAGGAATTTATGGCCCCGGTGAACCAAGGTCCACTAACAGAGCAGCGGTGAGCAATCGAGGAACTCTTGGAAATCGCATAAGCAAATAACCTCCAACTCGTTGCAAAGAAAAGACTTGTAGTTTTCACTACATAAAGGCATTTCGATTAATTTGATTCGGATTTCTATATTCAGGATGGAAAATGTTTGTTAATAAATTAATTGTGACCTAATATTAATGGAAATCAATAAACAAAATTTGAAAGAGATATTAGGTAAAATTCAATGAGTAGGAAATAAATAAACGAGATGACTTAAAACATACTAAAGGTAGTCATTCAATCACAAGGATGCTAGAATATGAGCCAAACTCGGAGCCTAAGTTAGGGTTCAAACTCGCGACTACCCTTACAGAGGGTTCTTCTACTATCTACCAACACCACCCGAAAGCCTGGTTTTACCTTTCTCTCAGTCATCTTTCTCCTCTATCGATGCTATCGGCAATCACCCGTTAACGGTAATCACTTATGAAGGACAACTTGGCATTGAACACAGTTTAACTGGGGCCGAAATAGCAGTGTTTTAAATTCTATTTATTCTCTATGCCTTGAATAGGTGGTTGTTGATAGCACCGCTAGGATAAAAAACTGGCCAAGGGGAACGCAAAGCAAGTGTCCCGTTCGCTTGTTGGATATCACGTGATCCCCGCCAAGGTCAATCACAGGTTCGAAGCCCAGCTGAGGCTCCGAGTTTTGCTCGTATCCCGGCATCAAAGTTAGGACGTAGTCGAACTTATTATTTACTGCCTATTCTTTTCTTTTAACGGCAGGGTATATATTGCGAAATATAACTTTAATGATGCTGAGATATTTGCAAAACTCTGGACCGCAGTGTACGAGGTGAGGAACGAACGCGCTATTGTCCTTTCCGGGGAGTAACGCGTTCACCATCACACCATGCGGGTCCTTCGTCTCGCCTGTCTCTCAGCTACTTTTGTCGATCTTTTGCCATCAAAGTTATATTTCGCAATATATACCCTGTCCTTAAAAAAAGAGTAGGCAGTAAATAATAAGTTAAAATTTTGATTATAACTGCAGCCTCAGCTTAACTGGGTTCGTTGCCGTTTTGGGCTCCCAAGGTCAATCCCGCTGACGGGTGATTACTGATGGCAAAAGATCGATAGAACTAGCTCAGAGACAGTGAAACGAAGGACCCACATAGTGTGGTGGTGAATGCGTTACTACCCGGAAAGGACAACAGCGCGTTCGTTTCTCACCGCAGACACCGGCGGTCCGAAGTTTTGCAAATATCTCAGCATCATTAAAGTAGTCGATAATGTTTACACAAATTTTATATCACTTAATTTATTACAGGCCAATACATTTTTCCAGGCAGAAGCAATAAAATTGTTGGAGGAGATATACATCACATCGAAAAAATTCTTTCAAGCTGATGGAAATCTCTCGACCAAAAACGCGAAGGGTTTATTTAACCGCAAGCATTGACGATGTTTCTCGAATAAAAGAGGAGTAGCAAGCTAACGATGTTAGTATTGTTCTCTTTAAGGAGATCATCTACAGAGGACTTTACCTGGCTACCTTCTCTCGACGTGATCGAGCAATGACGCAGTTCAGCGGAGTGCACAATGTCACTTATGCGATGTGGCAAGCCGACAAGGAATTATCCAAGCCTCAACCACGATGTGCCGGCAAGGTCAGTGATCGGTTAATTCGTTATAGCTAAAGTGGTTTTTTATGAAGAGTTATAAGCAGAACTGCCATATTCGTTGCTACTTCTATCCAACAAGCAAATAAACGTCTTCACATCTTAGTAATATTTGTGTCAAAACTCTAGCGCTGCACCAGCTTGATATTTCTCTTTAAAATGAAATTCAATTGGCAATACGAGATAGCATTCTTTAAGAATCTTTTTTTAAACAATGAGACCCTCTGTATTAGACATTTTGATAAGCTTGAAAACTCTTTTGAAGCCTTCAATGACAACCAGAAAGAGTCTTCGCACAAATAACAAAAACTCGATGTTTGTGCTGTGGCCATCGTCCTGCAAGCAATTTCTACTCAGGGCAAGCCATTTTTAGTATTCTCTCTCAACGCGCAATCTTTCGAGATTAGGGTGCTGAATATAATGATGTTGTAGATATCCAAAAACTTTGGATATGCTCGTCACCAACAGAAAAGCTAGAAAAAGTGGGTAAATCTGCTCACTTTGTTGACTGTTTGCCGAAACAAGCAGAAATTTTGAGAATAGCGGTCATGTAGCTCCTTTAGTGATCAATGACTTGGCAGCTGGCACCAGAAACGCACTTAAACACATATCTCCTTCGAAATATTAAAATCGATCACATTTTCAGGCCTATCATGTGGTGGACGCCAATCCAGTGAATTCGTTCCTTTTTTGGCTCCCGTTGGTCACTGCACTCTCGCGAACACCACCGTTCATTCGACTTCCATTCTCTTTGATTTATTTCGCTGCCTATGTGTCTGAGTGGATTGCTGTTTGGTTCAGCATCCCCCCTATTATGAACAGGTAAGGTATTTAAAGAGAAGACCTATTTTTTCGAAAACACCTAAAATCCTTATTAGACTACTCTAAAAGTTTTTCTATATTAATATGATCCGTTTTCACGTATTACCATTCGAATTGCGAAACCCAGACTTCTTTCATTCGATTCACTTTTTTCCACTCCTCATTCATGAAAGGATCCTCTGCGTATAGGTTTCGCTTCAACTTCAGGATTTCATCTTCCCCATGAATTTTGTTGAATGCTAAGTAAATTGATCCTGTTTAAAATTCTTTCACAGATTGGTTAGCTAGTTCCTAGGTCTTCGTCAAATACAGTCGCCAATAGGACAGACTTCTTCCCGTGCAATTCTAGTACCAAGTCGTTATGAGGGATCGTACCAAACACCATTTGTGTATTTCACGGGGTTTCTAACCAGTATGATCCGTACATTCTGCCATTAAATCGTGACAATAGATTGTCCAAATATCAGTTTTATAGATACCCATCACTTCTCATTTTGTGAAAATATCCTGATCATTATTAAATAACGCAGCCCTTTACTCTATTTTTGATTTTTTGCGCAATATTTTCTTGCCTAAACATCGCCACGTTTTATCTGTAAGACTCATTGTTTTATCTAAAGGCACGCTGGCGGTGATTCATAGAGAAGCAGGTGCCGAATTTATCGTGAACAAAGGAAACGCTTTCCTTAGCAAACCCATCCCTCCTGGAAAGGAGGAAATTTGGAGACTTTTTCTGGATAATACGATATTTGAAAAAGTTTAAAATGCTCTATTCAGGTTGGAAGTGAATTTAGTCGGAGTGAGCAATACTTATTCCATCGAACGTGCTACTCAGGACTTCGACTACAAACCTACAAAGAATCATGACTTAACGGAGGTAAAGCGAACGTCGATGATCTGATCTGAGCTTCTTGCCAAGGCTAAGTCTAGATGATTCGACAGTAGTCAAATTTTGTCTAACGGTCGTAAAAACATCAGAAAAGTCACCAGTGAAGGTTGAAAAATCACAAAGTGTAACATTTCCAACATCGGTGATGAAGTTCTTAGGAAAACTATGCATAGATAGGAGTGGCATTGAAAAAATGTGTTGATTGGTCCTCTAAATGTTTTCAAATTGTCTAAGCGTCCAGTGGTTTAAGTTCATGCGGTGATAAAAGAACGAAACAAAAGTTGTTCGGCTTTAGCCAGTCCCTTAGGAACCACCACTCATCTAGCTTTATTTGCGACGTTGTAGAGGTGATTGAATGCACGGCTGGAGAGGTCAGTTAATGTGTAAAGTCACTGTTTGTTGCCTTTCAAGGCACGTTCAACACCAATTTTCCGACTTTAGAGGGATAAAGGGTTTCCTTTCAGATAAGAGCTGAATCGAACCAATCGAAATCGAAAGACTTTTTGTACTGCACACCGCGCCACTAACCGCTGCGCTACACATGGATTTGAAATGTAATGATATGGAGACTAAATAGGTTACAACTCAAAAGATAAACCTTCTATAAACCTTGAAATTAAGGATTAATATATGTTAATTTTATGAACAAAATAGGCGACAACTACTTTGTTTCATTCATGAGTCAACATGAAGTTTGTTATCAACCTTTAATTTGGCCAGCCTTTCAATGTCTTCGTCTTCCTCAGAGCTGATGATCCAAGTCGATATCCATGGTCGCTTGTACTCTCGGTACGAGACAAGGACGCCACATTGAGAAAAGGACTGTGGACATCGACAAGGATCGTCGGCTCTGATAAAGACGAAGACGTCGAAACGTTAGCCGAATAAAAGTTTGGTAACAGCCTCGTGTTAACTTATCATTGAAAGCAAGCCATTGAAGATAGAACAAATCACAACAAAGAATAACAGAACTTGGTACATAAACTTTGGAAGTGCTGTGTGCTGAAGTCGTTACCTTGGCTTGGAACGCGGCTAACAGAGAATTGGGATCCCACATATGCTGTTCGTTAGGTGTGAACTGTAGTTCTAAATACTTGATGCCCTTTTTGGATACACTTTTTACTTTTCCAGATTGTCGAGTACTACCGGAAGTATTACGACGATAATCCAGGTCACTATATCTTGGAACTTCGCACCGCAGTTAAAATTCTCTTCGCTTTCATCATGTTGCTGTTCGTTTTCGTTCGATTATGTTTTTTTTAAATGAGAAGTTCCCGTTCTTACGTTTATGTTATTCTAAGGATTTGACAGATATTGACGTTGATTTCTTCTAAGGATTCGGCAGATAGACCACCTATTCGCAGTGATTCTAGGAATCTCTGAAAATTGGCGAAAGTATTCCTGACCTGATAAACTGATTCGCTGTGATAGACTGTTCTTCTCAGACGTTTCTAAAATTGTAGATCGTCTATCATGACCAGTGTGATCCTCTGTTTATCGGTTACTCTGACTGCTGTAAAGAGTTGCTGTTCAGTAAACGATGAAATCCATTTGGAATTAGTACTCCTTATGAGCTTTTATATTCAAATTGTTTCTTATAGAAAGAAAGTTCACTTTAAAGCGAGCGGCGAGCGGAGGTATGTACATGGATTTTTTCAGAATATTTCAGTCTTATTTATCCGAAAACGCTAACGGTCGGTGTCAAGTTCTGTTCAGTGTTTCTCAATCGACCAACTTTTTGTTGGCGTTTAGAGGTCAGATTAGAGCTACGTAATAGATTCTGTTAAACAAAAAGAATATCAGACTTCTAATCTAAAGCCGTCTTAGCGAAACCACAGCAGTGTTGATTTAAAGAGCTGAATCTCCAATTTTTGGTGAAAAAGAATCCACTGGTAGCACACTAGTCTCCGACATGCTATAGATTTTCTCTTAACTAAGCTTCCAAATAGAATTGTAGCGCTCCTCGGCTTAAGTATAACACTGCATTGAAAATGTGTTATAAATCAACACCCAGGAACACCTCATTGCTGTAATATGGTGGTAGGGCATGGGAGAGAGTTGACTATTTGAGCTCGAAGCTAGAACTTTAACGCAAAGAAGTACAAAAAAGTAACTTCATGAGATCCGATAATCCAAATCGTATTTTGATGAAATAAGGAGACTTCCTATCCAAGGCATAAATCTACAGATTATAATCGTTGGTTTTGCAATTAGCAAAGTTTGTTATAGGTCGACATATGTTGTTTTAAAGGCCAAGGTTGAAACCCGCCACTTGCTCCCGATATACATTGAAATCTCTTAGTACCTTTTACGACGATTATTTCAAAATACGAGGTGCTTCTACAAAATGCATGAGAGTTAGATCAGCCTTATACCAGTTCAGTTTTCTAACTGTGGATCCTTGTTTTTCAATATAACTGGTTGTGTAGGATCACGACGTCGGTGGTTTCTATAGAAGAGTTCGAAAAGGATGCAGAAACTGCAGCTGGTAGAGGCTCCATGTAATTGATGTGTACCCCGGTTCAACCCCGTCATGAGCAATATTCTCTCAACCCTCCAACAATAGCAAATTGCTACTGCGTCAGCAAATTGCTACCAGAACGAAGGACCCGCATGGTGTGGTGGTGAACGCGTTACTCCCCGGAAAGGACAATAGCGCGTTCGTTCCCCACCATAGGCACCTGCGGTCCAGAGTTTTGCAAATATCTCAGCAACGTTGCGGTTGTTTTTCGCTTAGTACCCTGCCGCGAAATTATAGTAGGCAAAAAATAAAAAGATATAACATTGCTACCAGAACTGTTTTGAAAAAACTCCCTCAAATCCAGAAATACCTGCAACTGCTTCTTTCATTAAGACTTGGATATGTTGCAGCAGAGCCGTCTTAAGATTCCAAAAAAGATTAATTTGGACGGGATTCAACCAACATTTGCGGTAACCACAAAATTCTCGAGAGACAGGCAAACCCACGCAAAAATTCGCTGGTTATCGCGGTAGGCGAATGAACTACGGCGAACTAAGTGAATAGAGTGCTAGCTTTCGACAAAATATCTATCAAAAAGCTGGAATTCAAGACAATTTTGACATTTAACTGGAAACACAAATATTTTCCTTGTTAAGTCAAGAGAGTTTCTATAAACCTCGGCATAAATGATCGATATATTTATTTATGTGTTCTTATGAACTGATCTTGTTCGGCCGATGCGATGTTGGTACAAACTGTCGTTATTATTATTATTATTATTATTATTATTATTATTATTATTAATATTGTTGTTGTTTGCCGATGGTTAACGTTCATGGAGAGTCAGTTTTTTGAGTTATTAGGAGATGTATCAGCAAAACATTTCCGACTTTTCCTTGTTATTTACACATTTTGACCAGGACACTTGAACAATCTCGACGGCCAATAGAATTGAAATAACGCCGTTCACCTGACACGCATTCACCCTTACGCTTCACAAGGCTCACGATTTTATTGACATATTATGACAAAAGTGTACGGACACGTGATCGACGAGTATCACAGAAGTGCTTGCCGGACACGACGGATTCTTTTTGCTACTACATTCTTTGTCAAGTACGAGCCCTTCGTCCTGCCTACTGAACTGAATCTTCTTGCAATGATTCTGCCCACTACTGTTCTTCTTCTGTCGCGTAAGAAAATTTCAATTCAGAAAACAATGTATTTTTCACCGAAAATATGAATGCCAATTTTACAGCAGTGTGAAGAGATTTGATTTTGAGAACGAAACAGGTGGTTTGAACAGGCAATGTAGTAAAGCATAGCACTCCTCCTTGAATCAGCCTTTCCTGGGCTCCGGGAATGAAGTTTGGATCAGGCGTAGAAAAGTTTTTATTATAAATTTATCTTTCGACTCTTTGCTAAGTAGCCAAAAATCCATGTTTCAAAAAACTAATGGAAGGATTTTGTGGCTTAACACAAACTAGTCCTCACATTTCAAGATAAACGTAGCAAATCTGTCGTTGCTATTTCACTCTTCTACACCACTACATCTTAGTGCTTCATTTTAACGACCGTCGGAGTCGAGGCATCGGACGGTTTCTAAAGACATAAGCTAAAACTCACTTGCTCATTCAGACGAATTAGATACCTACCTTCTTTTAAACCACTTTTGAAACAGAAGCACTATTAAAAAACCTACATGAGGAATAATGAACTTTTCAGTTGCAGCTTTTTTCCTCTAGTTTCCAGAATAATGTTGATGTGTGCAGGGGCACTGCTGGCATGTCGAATTGATAACGCTCTTCATGGAGTTTTCAAGCGTCAGCTGCAGTCCAACAGAAATCTTATCTTCGACAGCAGCTTTAAAGATCCGATCATCTACGACGAGGTCAGCAAGACGTTTTATGCATAGATCACCTATGCTGTACTCACAGATAGTACGTCATTCGTCAGATTACCATATCCGCTACTTCGATTAGCGATTTTGGAGAGTGCTACGAGAAAACCGGATTGTCGTACGTGTTTGGATTGAAGTGAGTTTCCTTTTTGCACTATTTTTGGCTATTAATTTTCGCTTCTCGACCAACATTATGAGGTTTGAATAAAAATATTGATAGAACCACAATGGTGCTGAGATAATTGCAAAACTCCGGACCGGAGGTATCTGCGGTGTGGACCGAACGCGTTATTACCCTTTCCAGGGGCTAACGCGTTCACCACCACACCATGCGGGTGTGGGAAAGGTGTTGGTGTTAAGTTTTGAAAATGGTTCTCGAAGAGGGGAATTGAAGTGGGCCAACATGCAAGAATTCTTCGCATATAAAAGATTATGTCGGTAGTTCAAAAAGCTTCCAGAGAAGAGTAAGAAAGTAGAAGAGAATAGAAAGGTTTTTCATTTGTAATGAGAAAGTGTTTCATTAAAATTTCATTATGCCTGTTTTTCTTTCACTCTCATTGTAGACGAATGGGACGACCAATTTGTTACCGATGTGTCACGCCTATATTGAAATCGGAAAATATATTACAGTTAGCTCACCAACAAGGTTTGTCTTAATCTTCAACAAAAGGTCTTCAGCCATCCTTATATTCGACGCTTAACTAATATTAGTTATTGGTGAGATGACCGGTCTACATATCCACAGAGCAACTTTGAACAAAGTGGATCTGAGTGCGAGTTTTAGCGATCTCTGCTCCCATGCTTCTTTTCTGGTTCATAAATGCTTTAGATACAGAAGAATAGTAACCATGAAGGGTAGAAAGATAAAGCGTCCAACGTCTGTCAGTTTTTCCGGATGCCCTTGCACTAGGTTCAATTAATAGTGCAGCAAAGCATATTTACTCTATAAAGTGACTTTCGGTGGAGGCTATTGATTTACAAGCACAGTTGTTTACCGTCTCAGAAAACTCTGTTGGTGATATTCCTGTCGTGCTTGGTTTACTAGGAGCGCGGAATCAAATCAATAACAGGGTGTACTACAGGACATCTTTAACCACTACCTCTCTTGCGTATTAAAAATAACAGTCAAGAAAACAAAGACGTGGACGCCTTTCTATAAAATTTGGAATTTCTGCGAATTGAAGGTAATTTTAAAAAGCGGCTTAAGGTGAATTTTGCTACGAAACAGTTGGTGAGGCGAAGTCGTCATGCTTCGATGCTGCACGCGTTGGCCACAACGACGGCACGACTGTATTCCGTTAGTTCTGCAACGATAAAGACACTTTTTAATGTCTTTTTACTTGTTCTATTAAACTTTTTAAGCAGCGACTTTTGCACATCTCAACAGTTAAGTGACTGTCAGCTACATGAATATGAATAAAACCACCCACCCACTATGCATTAATCCTCATGCGTGTTCTACCTATAAGCAAAAAGACTCATTGTATCTTTATCGAAACGATATCCATTTTAAATACTTACTTACTAAATGGATACTGATTCAAAGGCTTATTGCGTCGTTGTAGGGGATTCCTTTCTAGAGGGTCGAGGTGCAATGCGGAGAAGAACTCTATTCCAAGGTAGAGTCGCTTTGCATTGGAAAACCTTGCTAGGAGTAAACCTATGATAGAAAAATTCGCTGTTCTGAGAGAAATATAGGCATAAGGAGGAAGATCTGCATTTGACCCGCAAAGTTGGCACCTGCCTGTGGTAATGACTTAGTAAGGGACTGCACTGTATTCTATGGAGTCCAAGGAGATGAAACTTGCGCCAATCCTGAACATATCAGACAGATGGAAGTTTTTCTGAAGCACATGCAGTTTTTTATTAAGGCAATCCATTCAAATGGCCATGCATCCAAGTCCACTAAGTTCTTTATCAAGTAATTCTGTTTAGTCATTAACATCATTTAGTCATTAACAACAACATCTAGCAGTGTATTGACGCTAGTTGTTTGCAGGTGCCGACGCAGTGCCAGCGAGTTGCCACATTGATGGACGGTTTTCACTTCAATATGATCTCTTGGGGGCCGACTTAACGTGCAATGTGGAATCAGGAAGTGAGGTAAGTGCCCGAATTTTCAGGATGGTGTGGTTTCGTCTTCTGTCACAAAGTTGAGGACCTTCAGGTTCACAACTGCGAACTCTCGACGAACATAGCTGTGAGCTTCCGCAATTGCTCATTTCCAGATTTTGGTTAGTGTTTTTTCTGAGAAGGAATACTCAACTCAGTTCGACTGTTGCCACTATTGTTTCTTATATTTATTATGGTTGCTTAATCACTCACTACTGTTAAAAAAGAAACAAATAAGGCTTTCTGCGTTTGACCAATCCCTGAGGGGTGCGCCATGCATTCGACTACATCGCTCGGAGGTGACTGAATGCACATCTGGCCTTTACAGTGGCTCGCGGTGGCCTATCGATATATCAAGGCAGTGATGTTATTTTCCCAGAGAAGTTTTGTACCAATTTGCCTCGGAGGGATGGTAGGCTTGGTAGGCCATGAGTGCGAGGATCCACGTGTGTGTTGCAGGGCACCTCCGACCACTGCGCAACACGTGCCCTCTCACTGCTGTTAGCTGCAATTTATTGCAATTTTTATTCTGCTTAATGACATAAGAGTCAAAATTTTTATGTTGTGCAGTATTTAGAAGTGTCATACAATACAAACGTAGTCCTTGGGCTGACCCTCATCACTAGGCTCACCCAGCTTCTATCCCTACGTTGTCGACAAATTGGTACCGCACTTGTCCGGTAGAATAAAAACACTAAATTGCCCCATCGGCAGGCTACCATAAATTATTGCATAGGCAATGAATCCAATCATCTCTGAAATGTTTCGCGATGTTGTATTCAATGCGAATCCCTCAAGGAATAATCTGCACCAAACGCTTCACTCTTTAACCTTCTCTAGGAAAGATAACTTTCGAACCTAAATTTTTATTAAGGGACGAGAGAATTTTAACAACCTACATAGATGCAGCTCAATATGTGCGCAATCGCTCGTTCACTGGTTGAATTACAACTCCTAGAGCCAGCGAAGCGAGAAAATTAGTACAAGAGTTTACTGGAAAAAGCTACCTCTTACCCAAAAAGCGACGCTTGTATGTAGTGAAAACAAACAACGCTCTAATACAGCTACCTGAGAACACTAGGGAGAGCCAAAATGAACAGCATCCGATAGATTAATGAGAAAGAAAAAGTTTTCATGAGAAATGACAGCTGAGCTGACATTCAGATCCGTTGGCCTCCGCGGAAGATGGATGCGAGACAAAGAACCGAATCCTAGAAGGGCTGACGTCTGAGTAGCATATAAATTTCGATTGGTTCAATAAATAGGATAAAAAAAATTTGGTTTAAAAGATGGTTTTCTGAGCGTATAAAAACTGATTACCATTATTCCAACTATTGTAGAAGCTATATGAAGAAATCAATAGAGTGTACTAGGAGCAACTCCTTCGATAGACACTAGCCATTAGAATGAGATCAGTCTCTAATAAGAAGGCGCTCGACCACCTTCTGTTGCCGTGACACATCGAAAGTTGAGAGAATGGTTGACATCAAACCCTAATTGCTCCAGCTTGATCGCTCATAACTATTTCTTACTGAAGTTCTTCAACAACTATGGTTTACTAGTTATTTTGTATGCGCTTAGCTACGTAGATTTTACATTGACAGTGAAAACAATCTGAAAAATTAGATTGTTATATTTAGAAAGCTTATGGCTTTAGATATGTCCCTTAAATGCATCGGCTCATTCGTTGGCTCACTGGCTGAGAGGTATATCATTGTGTTGAACGAAGAGAGCGAGGAGTACCGTTGTGGGGTAGTAGTTCTTCAATTTTAATTCTATTAGTGGACTATTAGTGCAACTTTTGTGTCATGTTGTTGGTTTTAGCTTTTGATGCCGTCAACGAACCAGGATATATCTGTGTATTTCTCAAAGGACTCTTCATGTGCTCTTCTTACCGAGAACAGTGCATTCGAGAAGTATAAGCTAACACAAGGTAAACAGTCTCCTAAACGAAGTGGATGTAAAACGAGAAGAGAAGTAGGGAAAGTGGATTTTGAAAAACGTGGCATATTAAAATGGTTTAAAAAATGGGTAACAAAACGTTTGATGCTGTTTCCACTTCATGCTATCCGTTAATCCATATTTGCCATTAATTCGTTCTGGGTGGTTTTTAGTGAACTCTGAGCGCATCGCTTCTCCGTGTCAGTTCCCAAATTGGATCCGCGGGCAATACGATTCACTTACCGTAACCGCCGACTGGCTACAGTATGATCAACTCGCTCAGGTGCCCGTGACCTCCAGATGCGTGCATATTAACGAAAATCGCGTCCTGGTGTACTCAGAGACGAAATGGTCCTAGTTTCTTTTTCACTTTCCATCTTATAGTGCACTTTTCACAACCAAGTCATTATGCGTTGTAGTTTCTCAAGCTTTATTTTCAGAGCTAATCCCTAAGTAGCCATTATTTTCAAATTAAATACCACCTTGAACTCACGAGAAAAGTTATTTAAAATGTTTAAACTGTTTCCCAAGCCATCTCTCAGAATAAGAATGCTAAAATTATGGGAGAGTGACGAGATTGAGGAAGAACTCTCTAACTTCGTATTTCGCATTGCTGCCTGAATCCGCTGCGAGAAAGTAGTGAACGATACAAAGTTCCCATAAAAAAAGAGAAAGCTAATTACTTTGTGTATGAGTAGCCTTTTGATATAAGTTATTAACAGTAAATATTTTAAGTGGTGAGCCTCTTGGCTATCACTGTTTGTGGTTTTCACCACGCAGTGAAAGTCTCATCGAGTTCAAAACGACGATACCTAGAGAAAGTGCAAATCTGACTCTTTGCAGGTGAGTGAGAAACCATTCATTGAAACCGTCACGTTTGTTGATAGCGCTTGTAGGTCAATAAAACGGCTGAGAGACAGGCAAAACGAGGGACTTGCATGGTGCGGCGGTGAATGCGTGATAGCTCCGAGAAGGGTAATAGCGGGTTCTGCTCTCACCGCCGACACCAGCGATCCGGAGTTTTGCAAATATCTCAGCAACGTTATGGATACATACCAGATAATACCCTGCCATTAAAAATCAGAAGGCATCAAATAAAAATTGACGAATTCGCCACATTTTTTATTTTTTATTATTCAAATGGTATGAATACAGCACTGATGGCGAATTCTCACAATGGTCGTGGACAGCTGCCGTCATCAATAACCCCATCCCGTCGTCATGTGGAATTCTAGGGTAACCTCTTCACTGCCGTTCGCAAAATTTTTCTAACAGAAAGAAAACTGTAACTTTTCTACTTTAGAACTTAAAATTACAGTTTAAAAGGAATTAAAGTAGGATTAATGCAAAAATTTTGGTTGAAAGTTCTTATTTTTCTTGCGTTCACTGAATATGCATCAGAAGCAAGCTATATGGTACCTAGCTTTCCTAGATTTTGTCTCTTGGTTACCGTACTTCTTCCCAAACACTATAATCTATAAGGTCTTGTGAATAAGACCTCTATTTTTTCTGCTTACTTTTAACCTCTGTTGCCTATCTTTAAGAGGTTCTTTTTAAATAGGGCTTGGTAACAGTTAAGCAAATTTGCCGGGTTTCCTTGAATTGCTTTGAAAGTATGCAGCAACCATTTTTGATTAAATATCAGTTCAATCGCTGGTAGACGTTACTCTATAAGCTGAGTATCACTACTTTCTAGCTCAACTTTACCCGGATAATATGAAGAACATTTTTTCTTTTTCCACAACTCTCTTCTGCGCTTTGAGTTCTTTATGAGTTCTCAAATGCAGGTTGCAGTATCGCAGGCGTACACGGTAGCGGAAACGTGACTGCTACTATGAATGATGGTTAAGAGAACGGAGACTGTTACAAAGACGTGTAGGACACGTCACTACTCTTGAAGACGATGAACTTTGGCGCTCACCTAGATGCGTTTGAGAAAGCTCATTTTCAATAGTGTAAAGCTGAAACAGAAATGTAACTCACACAGCACAAAGGACTAGGAATCGCCGACATGAATTTTATAGAACACAATAGCTGACGTTTCGGCGGTTTCGCCTTCTTCAGAGCCTGGAAAGGTCAAATTGAGATGCGACCAACTCAGCCAAACCCTTTCATAACCTTAGCAGATAAAACTTAACAAATAAATTTATATTCGCATAAGAAACAGCTTCATTCAAACACCTACCGTTTATTTGTTGTAAGTATTTAAGTTAGTTGATGGATAGCCGCCGCACAGGGTAATACATGGTCGATAACTGTGTCCATGTCAGGTCATTGGATTAGCCTGAGGTATGGCGCCAGGTCACGCGTGATGACAAGACACTCCTCCTGAAGAAGGCGAAACCGCCGAAACGTCAGCAATTGTGTTCTAATAAATTCTATATTAACAACCTCGTGTCTGCTTATTGAAGAAAAACGTTGAATTATCAATTAATGCCGAGGTTAACAGAAAGTTGGTCTTGGGAAATGAATTTTATAGTTATAATATCGTTTGTCGTCTGTAACTTCGTAGTCGTCAAGTAACTCAAGTAAGCACCAGTACACTACGTTCATCTCCCATGCGCCCAGAGTGTTCTGTAGACTCTGCACGTTCAAAACGCTTGTGTGGTATCACATTTCACTTGCGCTCTTTTTCACTGGTTTTGGAGAGAACGCAGTAGTAACAAGCTAGTTTGTTCTATCGAGGCGTAGTAAGTTCAGTCTTATCTGGGCCCCGCAACGTATATTTCTAATTCTTAGGATCGGGTGATATTTTTGAAATATGAACATCTACTGTGAATAAGAATACGACACTTAAGAAAATCCCCAACAGCAAAGAAGGGGCAAAACATTACGAAAGAGTAGGAGTCGGTACGGCAACAGTAATAAAGTCCAGAAGAGATACGAAGTATGTCGTGAATGAGCTTAATGAAGGGTTGATAAAAAGTAGCAGCAGTGAATTTGTACCAATGTGATACATTACTGAAAATTAAAATACTGGTGAAGAACGGACTATTGAAGTGGCGAGCATGGAATATTTAGGATTAGGAAGTAAAAAATCAACTTGCTTGTTTTTTTTGAACTTTTCAGTACATACACTACTCCACCAGACCTTCGAACACTGGACTGTTTCAATGTGAGCATCGACTGCGATGACAGTACGAAGATGAAAATTACTGCATCGCATTGCTCAACGGATGTCATTTTCGATTGTTAGTGGTTTCAATATTAAATTGGAGATATGCGAAGTCACGCGCGAAATCGAAACTCTTTTGTTTACAACTCTTCTAAATCCATGAGAAAATAGGAATTTTAACGCATTATTTTCTAACTGGAAATCCATTTCATTACTTTGACGTGATTCTGGAAGAGTTCAGCCCGTCAGTACCAATGCATAGCGTCATGGAAAGATGAGAACTCACTTTACATCTACACAACGAGAGACCAGCAGAAACACTCCTGTTTCGTACGTTTTCGGTTGTCACTATACACTCACTAAAAAGTACCTTTAATCAGTGATCTCCTATTAAGACTAATATTTTATCCCATTAATATTCTCTCTCTAGGTGGCACAATACTCATCCAATCGACTATATTTGTCGTCTACTGGACCTCACTGCACTAGAGATTTTAATTTTTCAGAAAATTCTGAGAAAACAATAGTTCTTCAGGAAGAAAGTGAGTTATATGGAACACCATAATTTAGCCGAAAGCAAATAAACTCTTGATTTTTATAAAATCAATGTATTAGTGAAGAGAGAATATTGAAAGAAGAAAAGTGTCTCTGTTTCTACAGCCGGTTGTCTTCAAATGTCGAAATCCTCTAAGAAGCCTGCGAACTCGACGTTGAGGTCGTCACCTGTAATGCAAGTGGATTCTGCCCTTGGAAGCGGCCCTGCTGGTCAGCTGCTTCCAGTTGGGAGATCATCGCTAGCAAAAAGTAGAGCGGAGTGGACGTCAGAGCAGAACGTTGCTTCGAATAGGGTTATTTTGATATCTTCTGTAGTTCTTGTATGTCATATGTTCTTTTGATACTGAACCTTTTTTGATGGTTTCGGGTTTTCTTTTGTTGTGTAGTCAATAAAAATCACTTCTTCCCTTGCCTATGTCTCGCGAATGAAAGGCCTAAGCAGTTCGTTGTAGCTTTTATGTTTTCGCAAACTACCTGAGATCTTCCAAGTTGGAAACGCTACACTCTCAGATTTTTAATACTTCGAGCGCCTGTAAAATAACCAGGAATGATGAAACATTTTTTTAAACTGATAACTTCGATGGGGGTGCTCAAAGTACTTTCTTTCACTGCTAAGCCAATACGAAATTGTTACCAAAATATATTCGGCTAACATATTTGGCTGAAGTTTCTACGTCATCTACAGAGTAGTGATGACTCGAGTTTATTCCTCACAGCCGTGGCCATCAACAGACGATCAGCCTACCAACAAACACACGGTATGAAAGGACATCGTCTAGTGAGTTTAGTTCATTCGTGTGGTGCTCCCCTTCAAAAGACTCGACTCGAAACGACTGCAAAGTCTTATTTCGCAAGGAAGAACGGCTGTGTAGAATCTACTGGGGTCATTGTGTCTTTGAAGAAGGCGAAGGTGCCGAAACGTTAGCATTAGTAGAACACTTTTGATTTTGATTGAAGTAGATGCACTTGCAAATGTTTGAAAACCTGCGGGAAAACTTGGTGTAAGCATTATAACTGTCTCGAAGTACCTGAGAAGTAAGAGAAGGTTAAAAACCTTAAGAAATTGATACCACACAAATTCTATGATAATCAAAGAAAGCGTCGTTCTGAAGCATCCGCAGCACATCGCCTGCGTCATCGCAATGACCCGTTTCTCGATCATGTGGTGCAGCACCATCAGAAAGAACGTATGGTGGCCGGGCAAGAACGGCTCAGTAGCTGGGTCGCGACAAAGCTCAGTAGCACTTACCAAAGCCGAAATTGCGATAAAAGAAGGTCATGCTCACTGTTGTTTTGTTTGCTTCTGGTTTAATCCATCACAGCTTCCTGGATTTGGACACGTACGTCTAGGAAAACGGTGAAATGCACCGGAGATTTCGACGCCTGAGCCAAGCGTTGGTCAACAGAAGGAGACCAACACTTCTCCAAAATAAGACGTGCTAACACTTTGCACTACCTGGAAGAGCTGTGTCACCAATGCATCTCAACAAGTGGGCCGGAACAACCTTCAGTGGCTTTATTGTAGCACGATGTCTAAAATTTTGAGCGATAAGAATAAACAGACTTGTTCCGACTTCGCAAAATTGTACAGATTGTTTAATTTGGGTTGACATAAGCCATTTCAATTAAACAGATTAAAATCTGTCTCGTAATCGACTCGGTGTCCCACTCGTAACATCAAGGCTCTGAAGAATGCGAAATCGCCGAAATGTCAGCCATCGACCAACAAGAACAACAGCAGGTGTATGCGGTGGGGAACGAACACGCGCTGTTGTCCTTACCGGGGAACAGCGCACTTCATCATCACACCATCCGGGTCCTTCGTCTTGCCTGTCTCTCAGCTAGTTCTATCGATCTTTTGTCGTCAGCTATCACCCGTCAACGGGATTGATCTGGGGGGCCTAAATCGGCAACGAACCCAGCTAAGCTGAGGCTAGCTAGCTGAATTAGCTGAGAGACAGGCAAGACGAAGGACCCGGATGGTGTGGTGATGAAGTGCGCTGCTCCCCGGTAAGGACAACAGCGCGTGTTCGTTCCTCACCGCATACACCTGCGGTCCGGAGTTTTGCAAATATCTCACCATCGTTGAAGTTATATTTCACAATGAATACTCTGTCGTTAAAAAGAGGAGTAGGCAGTAAATAATAAGTTGAAAGAACAACAGCAACAACAACGACGACAAGGACAACGAAGACTTATGCCAACCTCGCATCAGCTAAAGAAGACCAGCTTATAAGATCATATAAATAAATGTATCAACTACCTATGCCGAAGTTTATAGAAAGTCGGTCTTTTGAGATTAAAATCTACTACTAGTTCTCGAATCACTAGAATCAAACTAGATAGGACGCTCTTCATGGACGGACACAAAACAGTTATAGTTTTGGTATAAAAGAAAAAAATAAAGCTGTCAACTTTGATCAATCCCTGAAAAATGCGCCATGCATTCGACTTTATTAAGTGCCCTTGGAGGTGACTGAATGCATATCTGGCCTTTACAATGACTCGCGGTGGCCTACCGATGTATCGAGCCAGTGCCGCTATCCTCGCAAAGAAGTCTGGTACCAATTTTCCGACTCTTGAACTTTTATTGGCGTCTTTGGCCAAAACCAGGATATGTTACTTACCAAACTCTACCTTGACACGAAATTATTCATTCTGAGTCTACGGTTCAAAAATGTCGAACTCGTTTTCAGCATGAATCTTTTCATTGCCGTGATATTTGACTCCCATTAAAACTACTTTTACAGAAACTGACAATTGACTAAAGTTCATCTGTGCTCTGAAACTACAGAAGAAGAAAAGCAAATTGTGGCGCTCTTGCGGTGCGGTGGTTACGGTATAGACACACGCTCTGCAGTGATGTTGTGATCATTGGTTCCATCCCAGGTTTAGGATAAACCATGCCGTCCGCTCGTTTAGGTTCGGCGAAACGATGTCGGCCCTATTTGGGAAGACAAAACACTGACATGAAAAATCGATAGGTTTCCGAAAATCACTGCGTAGGTCAAATAAGCCTTTAGGTACCCCTGCTCTTCATAGAGTTGGATTCACCGCGCGTCCCTCAGACATCTGGCTACCCAGCTTGATTTAATCCTTGCCACTTTCGAGTGGTGCGAAGTGGCTAGCTGATTATGCTACAAAGATTTTGGGAGAATTTTTGTTGTTATAGGGCTTCAAAGTAGAAGAGTGGTAGCAACGAGTTACTCTCAGATATTAGGTGCAAGAAACTTGACATTGGAACAAAAACTAAATGCTTACTTATTGAGATATTTGGGTACTCTGATAGCCATCTTCACTGCTAGTATAGGCGCCAGCAAAATTTCCATTCTTTTCTCTCTCGCACTAGCGCTGCCCATTATGGTCTCTTTCAGACACGGGCAAGTTCGCGAGGTGTGTTCCGTACTCCTAATCCTGAAGTGGTTCTCATCTGTGAGTGCAGATTTTTGAAGAGCACTGCGAACGCTCCCGCTCATCGTTTGGGTGGTCGTCTAAGAGAACAGTTGCATTGTCTTAGAGTCCACTCCACTGTTTTTTTTCGTCCATTTGTCAACTGTTTATCTTACGACGTCATCAATCAATCTGTGTTTCGCTATTGATGTATATTGGCCTGGATCTCTTACACAAGATGGGCTTTGATGATCTGAGCTGCGAAATCCGTCTAGACGTCAGCGGTGTTTATGTCTCAGAAGGCATCGTTCAAGCTCTCTGTAGCTAGTGTACAGCATTCTTAACGTGGTTAAAGTATCAGCCGACGTTTCTACAGCATAGTAGAGGGCTATTAAATGTATAAGGTAAGCGCGGATTTTCCGGTCTTTTAAATAGTCGGTGGCTCTTTTGAGAGGCGCGTATGTGGCTCATAGTGCTCTTCTTCTGCTGTCTAATTACTTCTTTACTTTGCTTCCCGTATTCATTGAACGTCCAAAAACCATGGCTTTTTGAGGTATGATATAAAGACGATAGAAAAGCCGTAATTTCTTTCTGTAGTTTCGATAATAGCCAGTTAGCACTATTATATAGAAGGGCCCATTTCTTGGTCGGCGTGCGCTAATGGGGTTCTATTTGTTTCGATGCTTTCACAACCTCTTTCGCAGTTATGGAAGACTAAGACAATAGAAGGATGGTACACGCGATTGACTTCTACGACCTATGATGACACGGCTTCCATGCGGTCCATACAGCAAAATCGCTGTGATGCTGAACTGCTGAACTCACCCTGATATACTTAAAAAGATAACCTTTGCGAAGATCTTGTAAAGTGCGCTCAACAAGCATATTGGGCAGTAGTTATAAAGATTCTTTTGGTCAACTGAGCGCTAGGTCGCCCACTGGTCTGATGTTTTTTTCTGAGCTTGAAATATCATGTGGATTGCGAGAAGTACGTGCAACTTGTGAACACTAGTTTTAAGAAAATTGATGGTGATATTATCGAGTCCTGGAGTATCCATCTTCGTGTTTTCTTTAGTAAATGGGACTTCGGAGGGCTGAATCTCAAACGGTTTATTTCCAACAGAGATTTCGGGATTCCGGAACGGGGATTGCATAACGAGAAAGATTGGTGCAGAACCTTTGCGTTAACAAATCCATATCGTGAAGAACGTAGTGATAGTCCCATCTTCATTCTTCAGGCTGTATGGTTTTTGAGCTGTATCCAATAAGTTTCTCTGCCTATACAAATGTTAATCTTGCTGCCTAGATTCTCAACGGCTGAAGTTTGTTATCATTCGTGTTACGTGTGTTGCAGTAGGACCAAGTTTCAATGTCCTCCTTTTTATGAGCAACTCCATAGTGATAATAGAAATGAGGTCTAAACTTTTTGTTTGAGGAACTGAGGCGAGTTCGACATAAGTTCTAGGTTCTTCGATAAGCAGCTTATAGTCTTTGATCGTATTGTGAATACTTTTGTAATCTACGAGTCGCCTTATTTTTTATTTTGGGCAGTGACAGGAGTTCCTTTTCAGTTCTTGAACTTGGACGAAAAAGTTGGTGATCGCATCTAGTGTAGAATCCTGATAGGACTGAGGTGTCAAAGCGACATCATCTTCTGTTCGTGAGAATATGATCGATTTCAGCAACAGTTGTGCCGTTAGGAGACTCCCATGTCCATTGCGAATTCCTCTCTTTTCGATAAGCTAATCCCATAAAAAGTACTACTAGACGGTGCTCATTCCCATTTCGCTCTCCTATTTCTAGTTTTTCCTTCCTGCATTTGTTTGCGTTGATCGTTTCTAATCTGGCACTAGGGCCTTCAACAACGAATTATCGGAGGGACTTCTCGTTGCAGATTACCTTCTCCAATTGGTCGTAAAATGCGTTCAGCACGCTTTTATCAACTCTACAA